GACCTGCAAATGTTCTGCAAGCTCCTCTAAGGACTTGTCGAAGACTACGAATCTGTCAAGCCATTCTCTGAACAAGTCGTTCATGCAGGGGTGGAAAGAAGCCGGGGCATTGGTCAGTCCTATAATGATCTTCTTTTACTACCTCGATCTGGTGATACCCAGATTTAAAGTCAAATTTGGAAAAATACTTACATCCCTGCAGCCTATCCATTCTGGCCACTAGACTCTATGCATAGCCTCAGTTCACCCTCCCTTGGGCATGAACAGAACTTGTGCACCGTTCAGCGACACGCCTGGCTGAACCCACCCCTTCCCAAATAACTCACCTAACTGTTTGCCCAGCTCGTTAGCAGGTTCCTATAGATGGGACCCTGTAGTGTCTTGCTACTGGGCGTCATCTCTATCCTGTGCTTGATCTCTCTTTTATCACGCCTGAGAACCCGCGTTTCCCTCAGCATACTGTTTCAACGTTTGTCTTATCAGGGTGGTAACTTCTGACTGTTTCCTTTCTGTTTGCTCTCCCTTCTTTCCTTCTGCGGGTATGGGCTTCACTAGGGTCGTGAACACTTGTTCAGCCACCTGCTGCTTCACTACATACATGCAGACGCACTCGTGCAACACACTCGCAGTGGGGTGTCATGATAGAGCCGGATCGTGCTCTTAATCCTATCCTTAACTGGGATTCCGTAACTCTTCCTCTTTATACCTAACATCTTCATCTGCCTCCATGCCCAGGATAGTGTCGAAGGGTAAGTTCTCCTCCACTAAGAGAGTCGGGGAGTTCAACACCTTTTCTACCTTCTCCCCATTCTCCAACTGGAAGTATCCCTTCGCGCCCTTAGCATATTCTGTCACCATGATCTCTCTGCTATTAGCCAAACTTGTGAATTATAGGCCATTCCAGATTCTAGACCTTCATGCCTGAGTGCGGCTTCCTAATGGCTCTAGGCGAGATATAACTCCTTGTGGGCCCCGGATCTACTAAGGCACCTACTTTATTTTTTATTATCCGGTGTTGCACACCCCAACCGTCGGCGACTGTTGACTGGTCAACACTTACCGGTGTGGGGTCGTCGGCACCGCTCAAAAATTAAACAAAAGTATATGTAAATAATAATTTTAATAATAATAATAATAATAATAAAATTGGGTCCAGAACCCCTGATAACCCAACCAACACCCCCCTACCCGCCCCACATACCTGGATACACCCCCTCATCACCCCCAAACCGCCCCCCAACACATTCATACCCCCCCCCAATACCCCCTATACCACCCCTATACCCCCCTATATCCTCCTACACCCCTCTATATTCCCCTATACCCCCGCCATCCCCAAAAGTTTCTCAGTGGATTTGGGCTGGATTTGGGCTGTACTCGCCAAGTGCAGTACAGCTTCCAACTCAGATCTGAAAAAAAAACAGTGGATGGCTGTTTTCTGACGGGTTGGCAGACCGTGGACCGGTCGGCCCTACTGGTCCTCTGCAAAACGGTCGGCAGTCGAGGTCGGCTTTAGGGAGGTATGCAACCATGTAACTATCTCTAAATCTGCAACTAACTGCCCCCGTTTGCTCTTCATCTCGGTCCAAGACCTGTGAAGGGTGATCAGCTCTTTGCCTACGTCTGCAAGGGAGCCAGTCATGGAGAGCCAGCAACTAGCGATCTTCAGGATGTCATCTGAGTGGCAGGGAAGTTCAGCTTGATGGGGAGTGAACAGCACACACTTTTAACTGCTCTGAGTTCACAGCCACGGTAGGTGCAGCTGATCCTCCTACCTCCCTCTTGCTGGCTGATTCTGCCACACGGGGCAGAAAGGGATGATGGGGTCCTCCTTACGACAACTGAAACACCTGCCTTCGTCTGGCGCTTTCGCCGCTGGGAGTGAGACACACCCATTTGCTTCCATGGCTCTCCCTCTTCCTTCACCTGGGTGCAATGGGAATCTGTGCTGTGGGTGGTGCCCTCTGCCGCCTCTTGGTGGAGGGTAGGTGCCTCTTGCACTGCTAGGGGCTCCTCCTGCTCTGGTGGCCCTCCATTGTGGGCTACGACAGAGGCATATTCCCCGGTGCTACTACCACTGTCGTCGTCATCCCCTATGTCTATCTTCTCGTAAGGAGCGGTCTCGCCTCCTTCCACATGGGTAAGGAGCAAGTTTTCTATTGCCCTTACCTGATAGGTGATGAGAAGGATCTTTGAACATGGCGGATTTAGCAGTAAGCTTCATATAAGCCTCCATCTCCCCTGGACGCCGAAGGCCCTGGGGCTGTAAAACATAGAACTCTGTATAAGATCATCCGGCGAACAATCCAAGATAAATGGGTTCTCAAACTAATCCGGTGAGGACTATAAGCTGTTTCTCATATGCCACACAGAGAGATTGAAGTGGTGACCATAGGTGCCGCCAGGTGGCGACCCTTTCCAGGGCGGCTTTTGAGAGAAGGCATCAGATGTCTGTCCTGCCTGACTTAGCTTTTGCAGCTAAGCTATTTTTGATCGTGTCAGGCAGGCCAAGGGCGAAATGATGGAGAGTGTTTAAGTCTGTGACACCATGTTTCGGGCCTTGTAGCTATCTACCTTGGCCTTCAGACTAGCTACACTCTTTTAATGATACTTCTCTATATTTGTTATGGCGTTGGAGGCTTTGAGCGCTTCATTCCTATCAGTGAATTGTTCTTGAGTGCCCTCATAGACATAAGTCCTTAAAAAGGGTATTCTGGGATCAGGCTATAATGTTGCTTTCAGACCCGGCCGCCTGTGGCTGCGAGTGCAGCCGTGTTAGCGCATCCTTCTCCATCATCATACCGACAGCCACAATCTTGTCCTCCTCCTTAATCCTCTGCACATGCAGGTATGTTCTGACTGCGGCCTCCAGGTCGAGCAAACCCTCCTCCTTCTGCCTTTGCTAGGTATATGGGACCCTCACCTTCGTCCTGCTTTTATACCCCCGCTGGCTACCTACTCGGCAGCCAGTGGACAACTTCCCATTCCCGTTCCATTACTGTCTCCATCTCCATTCCACCCTTTCCATTTCTTTCCATCTCTTCCTCCATCATGCACTTTGTCTCCTTGATGAGCTTGTCAAAGAATTCAACGAAGGAGCCAGCAGGCCCCCTCGTCAATTCATCAAACTGCTGCTTCATCTCTCCTCTTAGCTCCTTCAGCAGCTTCCCGAATTCTGTCGCATCTGCATTTTCAAGGGTTATGGTGGCTATGGCGGCATACCCCTCCATCTCTTTTGCGGCTTTTTTGGCCTTAGGCGGTCATGCAAACTTACTCCTGCGCCATCTTGTTTTGCAATTGCATACCCCTCCATCTCTTTTGCGGCTATTTTTGGCCTTAGGCGGTCATGACAAACTTACTCCTGCACCGTCTTGTTTTGCAATTGCTCCTGCTGCTCCTTTTTCTTAGCTCACAGCCTCCCTGCGGTTTTGTTTCCAGATAACTGTTCTGGGCATCGCTTTCGCTGCAATCCTCTTCCAGCATATCCTCTTCTCCTCCTAGTGGTCCAGGCCCATAGGCAGTGTGCATGAGATGGTGGGCCAGCTTTCCTTTCATTACCGCCGCCATCTGGCCTCCTCTTCTTCTGCCTGTGTCTTTCCTTCTTCTCCAGGCAGCAGTTTCTTGTCCCGGCCCCCGCTGCCTCCTTGCACCGCCATCTTCCCCTTTGCGCCTTCCACTGGCTCTCTTTTCACCTACGTCTGGAAGCCCGTGCCTCTGAGTATGTGGAATGCCACCGCCTCTTTCCTTCTGTGTCTTCCTGGAGGCCATAGAGAATTTACTGGGTCTCACATTCTTTACTTAGCCCGTTTTCTGTAGGCGGCCCACTTTTGAGGCTCGCTGAGTCTTGGAGTCCGACAACTTCCAAACTCGAGTGAAGATCCCCTTGTTGTGTGCCAACTTGCTTCCTGTTGGCAAAACTGTCGTAGGCTTAAACAAGGTCTTTGGCTTGCAGGCAGTTGTAAAGGAAATTGGCTTTTCGTGGTTCTACTTGTCAGTTTATTTTTTTTTCTGTTTGTTGATTGACATTGCCTTTTGGGGAATGCCGTCTGTGTATGGTGCGGTTGATGACAGCAGGAACTCCTTCCTCCAACAGACTCGAGGTTACGCCCTGATCAACGATGTCTCGAGGAGGGTCTCTATGACGAGGCTAATGCGGAAAAGCTCCGCCTCGAGCTAAAACAACGCCAGGTTAGTTTATAATGAGCCAACCTGACACTTTCCAGATTGAGCTGTTGGAGTCTTGTTATCTTGGTATGAAAACTATTATGCTGGCAGCAAGATGTAAAAACAGAGAAAAGAAACGTGCTTTGTGCTGCTCAGTCAAGCATTGACTTCTTGGCCTCTGTGAAATGATTTGAGAACTGTTGGCCCAAATCTCAGCACAGAATCTTGGGTCATCTCAGGTGCAGTGACGTGACATTTTTCAAGCTCTCTGTGTTCTAGAGCCTGTTGTCTATCATCTCTTGGCAGAGGGGGATTGTGTAAGACATTCAAGAGCATGCTGGATCCTGTCGTTTAGCACATGTTTAGTCCTTGATGGACTGATGAATTCAGTGCACCCTTTGAGCGCAAGGCATGTTCTGCTGAGGAAACCTTTGAGAGTTTGTGCCCTAAACAGCATGGTTTTCTCTTCCAGTATCCCTCTTGCTATCTCGATGGTGTCCCTAGCAGAAGCTTGCATTACATAAATAAAGAGATGCCCCCTGCAGGAGCCACTGTAGTAGAAGTGGTTTTTGCACTCAAAAACATGAATCTTTTTTTTCTGGAAACATAACGAAGCTAACAACACTACAAGCCAAGTTATTTAGCGGTGCAGGAGTTTTTAGGCGTTCTGGCTGTTCCAAAGGTATTGGGTGTGCGTGGTACAGACATGATGTGAGTGGGTGATAGTCCAATGGTCTCGGTGCTTCGTTGATTTGAAAGTAAGTTTGTGACTAATAAGTCGGTACTCTATATTGACAACAGCTATCCAATGCTATTGGCATTCCCAAAATTGTGTTGCTAGTACCTTGCAATCAAGCTGGGTCTCTAGTGACCTTGTCTCAAATGAGATGGAGCAGTAAATTCTGGCTGTATGTGTGAATCTGACCTGGAGGTTTCGCAAATTATTCATAAAGACCATAGCTACGTCGGACCGGACACTGGAGCCGGACCTCCCGGCCCCATTCGAACTTCCGTAAAATCGGAATATCCAGACTGGTCCAGATCTCCTGTCCGGATGCCTGAACGGATCCAAGTATTTTCCGGAAATAAAATGTAATAATAATAATCATAATCTAGGCTACCAGAGTGGCCCGGGGTCACTTGCCGGGCCGGGCCAAAAAAAAATAAAAAATAAATAAAAAAATAAAATAAAATAAATTTAATTCTAAATTTGGTGAAGAATTTCGATGTGACCCTGAGGCAAAAGCTGTTCAGTTTATTTTTCTGCATAACATAGTTTTTTTTGGGATTTTTTGGATTGTTTTTTTTTTTTTTTTTTGCTGGGGCCTTCCCTGGTCCTTGCACGGGCTGGCCACCGGGGACCCGGGCGGCCCGGCTGGTAGCCTAGATCATAATCATAATAATATGAATAATAATAATAATAATAATAATAATAATAATAATAAAATAACAATTATAATAATGCAAGGAAAACGAGGGATAGCGAGATGACAGAATTCCAGAATGCAAAATCACATTGAAAGCAGGGCTGTTCTGGCAACCGACCGGTCGAGCTGGCCCGGTCCAACCGGGACGGGACCGGACCGGCCCAAGGGGGGTCAACCGGCAAACCGGATGGCCCAAAAAAATGCCCAATTCTTTTTTTTTTTTCCCCCGGGATCCGACTGCGCTTGCCGAGATCTGTCGGATTCTGCAATAAAACTTTGAAGGTTGGAATTTTTAATTAGGGGTGTGCCGGGAGGGGTGGTCGGATTCCGACGGCTATCGCTAATGGAGGAGGAGGAGAAAAGAGGAGGAAGAGGAGGAGAAAGAAGAAGAAAAAGACGACGAAGAAGAGGGAGGAGAAGAAGAGGAGGAGGAGGAGGAAAAAGAAAATGACGAAGAAGAGGAGGAGGAGGAGGAAAAAGAAAATGACGAAGAAGAGGAGAGGCGACGATGGCGCAGAGAGAAGGTCAGGAGGGAGGGGGGAAGGGGGAAGGATCAGGGGTGGAGCACCGGCGGAAGATAAACGGGATCGGGCGAGCGGGAGTGGGGAGGGTGGAGAAGGGGGGAAAGTCGGAGGAAGTCGGGGGAGAAGCGGGGGGGGAGTCGTTGGAGAATCCGGGGGTTTAGTCGGGGGAGAAGGGGGGGGAAGTCGGGGCCTGGATCGCTCTTAATTGTGATCCCCTTCCCCCCACCACCTCCATCCCCAATTCTCCCCACTTCTTCCCCGACTTCTTCCCGCTACTCCCTCGACTACCTCCCCGCTTCTCCCCCGACTACCCCCCGCTTCTCCCCGACCACCCCCCGACTTCCCTCCGACTTTTCCCCGCTTCTTCCCCGACTTTCTCTCGCTACTCCCCTGACTACCTCCCCGTTTCTCCCCCGACTATCCCCCGCTTCTCCTCGACTACCCCCCACTTCTCCCCCGACTTCCCCCCGCTTCTCCCCCGCTTCTCCCCCGCTTCTCCCCCGACTTCTCCCGAGCGGGGGAAAGTCGAAAGAGAAGCGGGTGGAAGTCGGAGGAGAAGCGGGGAGAAGTCGGGGGAGAAGCGGGGGGGAAGTCGTTGGAGAAGGAACGAACGGATGCACCGAGTGTAGGTGAGCGGGGTTGAACGCGCGATGCGTTTTCCCCCGCTGCACGATTCTATTTCCCACTTCTCCAGCTCGCAACGGTTTCAAACAGCAGCCGATCTTAGCCGCTGGTTTGTGACGATCAACGGCCACGATTGGCCAGTATTTCGAATGAAAAAAAACGGGTCTAAGGGACCCGGTTTTAAAATTGCGGATTAGGGCCCACCCCCACGAGGCCTCAAGAGCACAACTGCGTTGCCCATTTTTTTTTTTTTTGGCCCCCAGCGAAAATGCGCTGGGGGCGACCGGGAGTGAACCGGCCCGGCCCACCGGCCGGTCCATCCGGGAGGACCCCGGTTGGGGGAGGGGTCCCCGGTCCATCCGGGGATCAGCCCTGCTTGAAATCCAGAAAGTCCAACACTGTCCAGAAAGCATAAATGCACCTATATATCACCAATGGAGAACCAAAGCTCCGAATCCGAATGTCAATGAGAGCATACTCTCGCCACCACCAACAATTGCATCCAAAGCCCTTCCTCCCCCTTGGTGCTCAACGCCCAGACTACAATCACGCAGCTACAACCAGCCTACGAATTGACAATGCAACCTGTTGGCGTCAGCAGCAGAACCGAAGTACATGCCCTCACATCATCAACCCCGTCTTTCTATCTCTCCCCCTTGACTTCATCACCCACGTCTTCTCCCGTATACACAAAAACCAGCACCACCTCCACTGGCTATTCAAGCCAACCCCCACCCCGACTACGTGGGGGTTGGCTACGGCGCTGGCCTTGGCAGCGCCCTCCCTTCTCGCATGACCGCACGCGCGCACACACCTGCCCATATACTAGCGCAGCAGCCCGCGAGCGCTGGCTCCAGCAGCGTTGCCGCATCTGCGCGTAAGTGCCCGACCCCCGACACGGAGCCCCGCCCCTTCCTATATGGAAAGTGGCGGGCACTTTTCACTTGTTCCCCGCGTGAGGCCCAGTTTCCAGTAGCTTCAGTCTCAGCCAAAGTGTCTGCGCCTAGGCCCATTCAGACAGTGGCCTGGGACCGAATTGGTTAGGCATGCCAAACCACCCAGGCACAAACATCGGGTGCTCCCTGCTTCGACCACGTTGTTGGAAGAGCCTGGAAGGTTCACACATATTTTGGATTCTCACGAGCAAGGCAAATGTAACCAGCTGGCGCGTGACAACTGTTTGGCGCCCAACAAGATTTGCAAAAATTGACGAAGTCAGGGCACATTGCGATTCAGGGGGGCCACCTTCATTTCGGGCGGGCACGGGCCTGCTGCAGGGCCTTAAGCTGAGGGGTGAACCGTTACACTCCCCCCTCCTTTACTTCGATAGTCCTCTGAGAGCGTGTTACATGGCGGGCTGCTTCCCTTTCAAATTCCGATCACAACTTGAGATAATTTGGGGAGCAGTCTTCATTAACTCTTCTCTTGTGAACCACCGATCCTCTTCAGGATCAGAGTGGTGTTTGAAGCGAGCTAGATATCTGCGTTTTCGGAGGGCATCCCGTTCCCGGAGGTTTGAGCACAGGCATTGGCTTGTGTTCGACGATGTCGTCAATATCCACATGTCCGTCCATGTTTGGGGGCAGCATCGATCTTCTTGAGGGAAACTGATCAGTTTCAGCGAAGGTTGCCAACATAGATGCATGGAAAACAGGGTGTGTACGGAGGTGATCAGGGATGCTAATGACATATGATGGACCATCTGGCTGATCTCCTACGATATCCAGAACGTTCCAGAGTTCGAAAAATACGGTGGCGTCAGTTTATGAGAGATTCCCAGCTCCTGTCCCAACTCAGATGACTCACCCCAGACTCGCTCACCTGCCTCAAATACAGAGGGCCGTCTGTGTCTGTTCTCAGATGCTACCAAGGCATCCCGAGATTTCTTAATGTGCTCAACGGTGTGCTGCAGCATCTGTTCGTACTTGACGGCAAACTCTGTGCTGCCCGGTGCTGCATTTGGATGATTTTCGGGTAACAGGAAGTCACAAGCAGATCTGGGCTTTTCCAACCAAAATGCAGCTGGTTTTGGGTCTTACCGGTTGTGGTGTGCACATCATTGTTGTACAGGCAGGCGATGAAAGGTAACTTCTCATCCCAGTCATCTCGACTTGGCTTCATATAATGCCGAAGCAAGTGCTGCACTACCCGGTTCATCTGCTCGGCCTGCTCGTTTGACTCAGGGTGGTTCCATGATGTCATTTGCAGTCGGGTGCCCATTTGTTGGGCTGTACTTACAATGGACTTCAGGAGACCGAAGTCAGGTACCCAGTTGTCCATGAACAGCTTGATGACGTGGTCAGTCCTAGCTGTCTAAGGCATAGTGATTAGTCTAGCATACTTACTGAACCTGTCCACAATGACGGAGATGTGCCTTTTCCGCTCTTGCTGGTCACAAGAGTATCCATGAAGTCCATGGACACTCTCTGACCAGGTCCAGCAGGAATAG